CTTCAGGAACAGACAAAGTTTTATCTTAACTGTTCTGAAGCTTTTCCTGTGGGAGAGGTGTCCCAGCACATCACCTGATATGGAAAACGCCATGTTCAATGCTTAAAAGTTCTTTGAGATTCCCTTTTTACTAGTAGACAGAAATACAACAGCTGAAACAAAAGAAAACCTGTTTGGCTATATGCTGTTTAAATGCAGTGTGAAGGAGTGGGCACATCTGCTGGCTCTTTAATTACAAGCTGCAATCTTACACAGAAGGAAAAAACACAAAGCTCTGTTATGGTCTGCCATTATCCAAAAATAAATGTCATTGATATTAAGCCCTCCTAAAATGTAACAAGTTAAATGTGGCATCCATAATTTTTGTGCAGCCAGTATGTTGTGTCATAGCCATTGAACAGGATGGGTGAGACAGAAGTAGTATTTCGGTCTCCAGTGGCTGCAAAGGTGACCTTTGACTACTTGATAAGGATTGCCAAAGTGCCTACAGGTAATCTTGCTCTGCTGTAAATCATGTGATGGTTTAAGAGCTCTATTACAAATCCTATTTATGCAAAAAAGTTGCACTTTATTAAACTGCATCTTAAAATGGGTGGGAAATGATGTGTGAGCACACTTAAACTGTGCTAGCCTGCGTTTAGATCAAGTTTCATAGGGGTTGCCTTGACTCTGCTTCCAGCAGTCTCAGAATAGGCCTCTCTCTTCGAAATTAAGTGAAGCTGCATTGAAACTGGCTTGGTTTAGTATAGAGAAGAGTTTTACACAAAGTTTGTGGTGCCACTACTGAAAAAAAATAGTCTCACCTTCCCCAGCATCTTCCTTTCTCCTTTATGCTTGTGCAGAGCTTCAGTGAACCAAACCAGACTTCAGGTCATCCTGACTTTTCCTTGGCCAGGTTGGCTTCAGGTCCATCTCATGGAAGAGTCATGAACTGTGCAAGCAGATGTGATGGGTGCAAGGCAAGGTGAAGGAAGGGAAAGGGAATGGTCTCAGTTACTGTAGCACTAGGTGTGCATTCAAAAATTGCTTTTAAAGCAGCTTTTTAGTTTAAAAGCTCTTGCTATTTGTGTATGGGAAAGGCCTCAGCTTGGCAGAATACTGTTGTATTGCTGGAGGGATGCAAAATGGTTGTGTTGTTGGTTTGTGGTTGAAGTGTTTTGTAGGGGGTTTGGGTGTTTTGTTTTTTCTTCTAACAGCCATGGAAGGGGCATAGATGTCTGTGGCTTGTGAAGGAGTGACCCATAACTTTCAAGTACTACTGGCTTCCTTGTAGGAGGTCTGTTGGAAGTAGTATGCATACATCTGTACAAACCACATACTAAGCTGTAATGCAGGGCATTTTACAGCTCAAATGCTTTGCCCGGTAGGCACACCTCCCAGCTGGACTGCAGCAACCTGTGCTGCACTTGTTGGGGGGCAACCTCAGTTGATAGTAAAAGCCCTCTCTGTAGTATTTTGGCTTTTACAAGGACATAGGCACCGTCCTCTGATGTCCATACTGTTTTCCCAGTAACCTACCAGGATTTGTTTCTATTTATGGTCCCAAGCCTCTGCTGTCTGTCTTCAGGAAACTTTAGGTAGAACCAGAGTAAAACAGAAGCCTGCCTTTATCTGGAGAGGAGAAAAGGAAAAAAGTAGAAAGATTGATAGGGTAGTGAGGCTTTGGAATAACTAGTGGACTGAGCATTGGGCTGCTGAGGTGTCTGGGAGGGCTGGGCAGAGCGCAGATACAAATGCCTGAGTTAGATAACCCAAACGGTGCAGAAGTTCTCATTGTGCATGTTTTAAATAGTGCAGGTGTCTGGGTAGGAGGGAGAATGACATGTACTAATCCTTCCCTGCCAAGCTAAGTGGGTTGAAGTTGGATAAAGCATGATGTGACAGATTGTAGCCCTTTGCCAATCAGGCTTTGCTTCTTCATGTGTGCCTTGTTCAGATTTACTAGTGCAGCTGAATTTCCAGTAGAGGTACCTCCTTTAGTTCAGCTGGGAGGTATCTTTTGATCTGCAAATTAGTGGTAAAGAAGTATAAGTGAAGTTAGCTGATTGAGCCATTAACAGATCTCTGGGTGTCAGGTGCTAAGAACAAAGGTGCCTTTGTTATTTCTATATTGAAGGGTAGTAGGACTCTCATCCCATTATTTCCAAAGCGCAGCCTTTTGGCTGATGTACCTGCTTTGTAACAGGTAGTAAAGTTTATTCTGCCCACTTGACCTCCATGGCAAAGTTGATGTAACAGAAGTTGCAGCTGGGGAATACAAATTATACTTCTGTTTGCCTTTTTCTTTTTTTTTTTTTTTCCCCCCTCTCCTTTGGTAATTGTAAAGTCAAAATTCAATGTATCTAAATTAAACACTTCTGTATTCTCTGTAGATCTGGGCATACAACTTTGATGGTAGATCTGGGATGGCTCACTGACTTGTGTCTTATACCATTGCCTATGTATCTGGATGAAACCAGCGTGAAAGTCAGAGTTGTCAGTGTAATTCAGAGCAGTGTCTTTCTACTGACTGATGCTCTCCTGATTCTCTCATTAAGCCAATTATGTTAAGTCTTTCCAGTAACTTTATGTATCAGTCATGAAGTGTCAAATATCTTCTCTTAAAGATTTTGGAATAGTAATCTGATATGTTGAATGCTACATCAGTCATCTGAAGTGACACAGCCACTGAAAGCTCTACTGCTCCCTTCAGTGAATCTTGGTTTATATAAAACTGGCTAGACATAGTCTTTGAGAAACAAAACAGAATCACCCTTTGACTGCAAGGAGGCCCATATCTCCATAGTACTGTTGAAGTATTATTTAAGTTACAAACCTCATGTATGTTTGTGGTATCCACTGCACTACTGAAAGAAACCAAATGTGTGTGGCTGTAATTTGTTCTCTGAAAGCACTTTCAAGGGGAAACTAATGGTGTCTTCCTGGTTTTTGATCTGTAGGCTTAAAAATAGAACTCCTAAACAAAAACATTGTAGGACACTCTTTTTTACTAAATGGATTTTTAACACTTTTTATTGTCTTGATTCATGGGAAAACTTCTCTCTTCCCTTCCTACTTCCATGCAGCCATTCCTCCATGTAGGGAGGAGTCACCTGAAGGGCTTTCCTCTCAGCTAATATTGCGGTTTTTCCTATGACTTTGAAGCCAGATTTCGTTAGCCAGGTTTCATTTGTCAGACCCCATCTTGTAATAGAGTATTTCTGCGGGGACGGTGTCATATCCTGATGGTGCTAATTACAAACTAGCTGGAATTCCTTACCAGTGATAGGACAGTTAAAGCAGCCCTCCTGGGGGAGAGCAGGAGAGAGTATTTTTGCAGGGTGTCCCTGCTCATGGCAGGGGGGTTGGAACTAGATGATCTTAAGGTCCTTTCTAACCCTAACTATTCTGTGATTCCATGATTTTCATCTTGGAAGCAAAGGTTTTGACAGGTCTTACTCCATCAGGATTGTAAGGATCCAAATGTGACCCATCAAGGGAAGTTGACTTCAGAAATGTAACTTTCCTGAATTTTCTGCTATAGATGCTCTGCCAACATTCCCCCTCACCCTTTCTGAGGTACTATTTCTTACTTTCTCCAAGTAATGGCTTGTTTTTTTCTTTAAAGTTTCCATGCTTTGCCCAGCAACAGAATGCAGTTGAGCCACAGAACCAAACAGATGCTTGGGTCCTTATCACTCTCTCCAAAAGAGTGTTTGCCTCAAGCTGCTGCAACCTTTTCATAGCTTCTTTGTTCTGCAGTGATCAGGAGCTCTGGATTTACTTAATTTCCTGCCTGCTCCTGCGCTCTGACAACCCGCCATTTGTTCCTGCCCATGCCTTGATGTGACTGCCAGTAGAAAGTGCTAGGAACGCTGATTGGGGTGCTCTTTGTTGCTTGCCTTCCCTCCCTTTGATCTAGCTACACAAACTCATGCTGTTACCTGCGCTGTAGCTTGGGTTCAGGAGAGGGGTTTGGTAATGCTTTCCATGTCTGCTGCTGTAGAGCAAGGCTAGTAGTTCATGTTTTCAATGCCATTTGTAATTTTTTAAACTAATGGAGGAAAAGGTTGACCTTGAGCGTGATGGAAATGCTGCAGTAGAAGACTCCTGGTGGGTGGAGGAAGATGCTGACAAAGTGTCTGTTCTGTTCTGCTCATTGGCTTGCTCTCAGCAATGTTGTCTGCTCACCTCTGCCTGCCTGGGAAGGGGATAGACGCTGCAGATGAATAGAGATACTGAGTTTTTGGCTCAGACGCCATACTTGAAATCTAGCCTGCACTTTTGAAGTATGTGTCTTAGTTCTGGCCCTCCTTTACCACTGCCACACATCTATCTCTCTGGAGTGAGGTCTAGCAAAAGTATGTTTGCAAAACACTTCACAACCCACGAGTACAAATGTTGTATGGTCTCCTGTCAAATGGAAAGTGGTTTTATTCTTTTATCACTCTTTTAATGCTGTTTCAAGCTGGTTGCTGTAGACCTGTGCTGTTTGGGAGATGCCAGGAGAGCAGTGTGATGGTCCAGCCCCTCTGAGTTGGGGAGGATCGGTCCCTCTTGGGATGGTGGGCTAGGGTTTCAGTAACACAATGCTTTCTGCAGCCATGTGCGTGTTCAAAGAGCCAGCTGGCTGGAGCTCCTGCAGTGACGCTTGGCTGATTTGGCAGCTGGGTTGATTCTGTCAAGTTACAGTATGATAGTTAAGTCTAGCTTCAAATCCTCTCCCTTACCCACTCGAGGAACTTGGAGAGGGGGGGCAGGAAGAAGGGGGAAAGCTCTCAGGGGACTTTGTGTCATTATTGGCATGGAAGCACTTTGTGATTATCAGCAGCAGGGTAGTGGCAAGGGGCTGATTATCTATCATGTCGTCAGCATAAATAATCAGTGGGCCCCTGAGCAGGGCTCCGCCTTTTGTAACGGCTCCACGTAATCACTGCATAACAGTTTAAAAGCAAGCAGAGCAGAAAAACAGCTGCACTAATCCTGACCCTAACTGATGTTGCCTTTTCTCCCCTCACTAGAAGAGAAATATGTCACTATCCAGCCGTACGCCAGCCAGGGGAAGGATGAGATTGGGTTCGAGAAAGGTGTCACCGTGGAGGTCATCCAAAAGAACCTGGAAGGATGGTGGTACATAAGGTAAAGAAGCCATGCAGCCAGGCTGCTGCAGAACCTGTGACAATGAGCTTTTCTGGTCCTTCACTTATTGTTAGTGTTTAAATAATTCTGTAGCTAGGCAAGGAAGCCCAAATTGTTCATAGTGCCTTTCGAAGAAATGTAAAGAAAAGGCTGTGTTCAAGGCGAGGCTGGACAGAGCCTTGGGCAATGAAGTTTAGTGTGTGGTGCCCCTGCTCATGGCAGTGGGGTTGGAACTAGATGATCTTAAGGTCCTTTCCAACCCCAACTATTCTATGATTCTGTGATACAATGGTGGTTAAAGTAACATTACGGTGTCTGCAAAAGCTGTGGACTGTTCCAGTGGGGAAATTCCTGAACTTGTAGATTATTTTCGTTCTTTCAAGTTAAAAGCCTGTATCTAAGTTAAAATCCATGAGACCTATCAAAGCTTTCTGTTCCATGTAATCTTAATGTGTTTCCAGTATAAGAGTTATTCTGTAGCATGTTTAAAGCTATTGATAGTGATGCTGAAAGGCTGATTGTGATCTTTTGAGCTGTTTGGGGGATATAATGCTATTTTCAGGGATAGAAGAGATCAGTTTGGTGGCTATAGCCCTTGTCCAAACTTACTGGTGGTCTCAATAATTTGCCTGATTTCTGCCTGTCCACCTTAGATATTCCAATATACAGAGGTTGGATTCTGAGGGCAGGTGAAGTTATTGTGTATCAAACTTTGTTATGTGCTTGAAACAGCAATCATAAGAGAGTTGTGACTTAGGAATCCTCTTTTTTAAATGCTTGTGGGGAGGATGTAGGTTAGCTATGCCTTAGATAGTAATATAAGGTCAGGATAAGTACTTACTGAGAGCTTTCTCCATCTAGGCACACACAATACTTAGGATTTAGTGCTTTCTCATGATCCTGCTCCTAGTTTTGTACCTGTGTGTGAATCCAGCAGTGCTGTGAAAAATCCCATTTCTATTTTAAACAAGATGTGATACAACAGGTAGCTTAAAAACAGAGGTATATATCTCAGGCAGTGCAAAACTTTTCATCTAGTCATCTTTTTCCATTCAGCTTGTAATTACAGTGATTATGTCTTCCCCTTTCCCTCGTCAAGCCAAAACTTGCTTTTGTTTTGAATTCTGCTTGATTTATCAGCTATGAATAAGGACTGTGAAAATGCTGACTGAAGCAGTCTTGTTGTTTTTCTTGATGTCCCTTACTTAGAAAACTGATATCATTGGGTTATGGGTTTTTTTAATTTTTAGTTTTAACTTCTATTTACTGCTCCCATAGAGGGAATAGGCTAATAAAGATAGCAGCGGAGCCAGGAAGGCACTCTAGATAGGAGGAACTCAAAAATGCTTGGGTTTGGTCAGGTCACATTTTTTTCTCTTTTAATCATTCACAGCAGTGGAATCCAAAGTTGCAGTTAGAGGAATTGAGCATATAGGGGGGTTTTAGAGGAGAGAAACATTGCAAGACATCTTTAGCTTATTTTGCTTATTTTGCTGTTCTTAAATGCAGCCTTATTACTACTGTAGATTCCCCTTTGCCATATTAACAGTTCTACAGTAAGCAGAAATTCTTTTCTTTTCTTTCTTCCCCCCCCCCCCCCCCCCCCACACTCTCGTCCCCGCCCCTCACTTTTCCTCACATCCTCCTTCGGGCCAACCCAAACCATACATTTTTTCTGTATAGCAGAAGTGGATTCTGGTGGACAGTGACACTTGCCGCAGTACCTTTAGTAGCCACTTCATGGTGATGTGCTGGAAGGACAGTGGATGATCCAGCCATGTAGTTCGGAATGCAGCATGCCCTTGGCTTTTTTGCGAGAGGCATTTTAAGTTGAGCAACCCCTCTTCTTGTTGAAAGATGATTAGGTGCTCCCCATATGTATGTGACAAGTGTGTTGGGTGTCAGCCATCATCCTCTCTGCCTATGGAGCAGTATGTCTCAGTCTTGCTGGAGGATTAAACTGCTTTTAGAAACAGTTGGGGTTTTTAACATAGAATCACAGAATGGTTAGGGTTAAAAGGACCTTAAGATCATCTAGTGGGCAACACTTTTGGAAATGTTGATGTGTTGATCCATCCCTGCAAAAGATGATCCTTTGTAGCCTGGGTAGCTGTTTTCCAACTTGCTGTTTATTAGATTTAAACTGCTCTCTATACTGTTAGGTGCCACTCAGGAAAGCATTCCTCTCTTGCTGAAAGACATTTCTCTGAGTACTGAGTGCCTTAGAAGGAACAAATCTTTCTGCAGTGAGTGTAGGGGGAGAGGGAGCAGGAAGAGAGTGCAGTTGAATCCTGTTGCATTGTTGTTGGCTGGGTAACAGAGACTGAACACACACATCAATGTGTAGAAATAAAAAACAAATCCTGCAGCTTGCAAATGGAATCCACCTTAAAGACATTAGCTTGTTCCACCTTAAATATGTAATTTCCCCAAATTCCTGGCCATGTGCTGATCCTCATTTCCTGTCCTTTTTCTTTTTTTTTTTTTTCTTCCCC